CTTTACCAAGATCGACCTTCGTAGTGGCTTCCACCAGATCCGTATCCGCGAGGAGGACACTCACAAGACCGCCTTCCGCTCTCGGTTCGGGCACTACGAGCTCCTCGTGATGACATTCAGACTCACCAATGCCCCCGCTACCTTCCAATCCACCACATCTTCCGCAACCTCCTTGAAGTCTGTGTCGTTGTCTACCTTGATGACATCCTTGTCTTCAGCCCCACCTTCGAGTCCCACCTTCAGCACCTCCGCCAAGTCCTCGCGATCCTCCGAGAGCAAAAATTCTACGCCAAGCTCAGCAAATGTACGTTTGCCGCTTCGAGCGTCGAATACCTCGGCCATATTGTCTCCGCTAAAGGCATCTGTATGGACCCCTCGAAGGTCACAGCCCTCGTCTAGTACCCCCCACCCAAGACCCTCCTCCAACTCTGTTCCTTCCTTGGCCTTGCCAACTATTACCGCCCATTCATTCGCAACTTTTCCGAGATCTCTTACCCTTTCCACGAACTCACCCGCAAGGACAAGCCTTTCCATTGGAACGATCGCCGCCAACAAGCTTTCGACTTACTCAAGCAAACCATCACCACGGCCCCTGTCCTCAAGATCGCCGACCCCACTCGCCATTTCTATGTCACCACTGACGCCTCCGACTTCGCCATCGCCCTCACAGTCTGGCGCCCATACCTCGACGGGCAATACTTCACCATCCGCACTGACAACACCATCGTCTCCCCCATCGTCTCCAAGAAAGATATCACTCCACGCCAAGCCCGCTGGCTAGACTTCCTTGCCCAGTTCACATTCACCATTTGCCATACCCCCGACAAAAGCAACCGCGTTGTCGATGCCCTCTCGCGACGACCCGACCACAAGCCCCCCGAGAAAGTATACGCCACCATGACTCATATTCAACTCCTTCCATCACTTCATCACCGATACACCCAAGGCTATCTCTCCTGCTCAGACTTCGCCACCATTTACAACAAGCTCCGCGATCTTGACTCAGTTCCCGACTACTCCCTTCACAACAATCTCCTCTACATCATTACCAAAGGCACTCGCCGACTTTGCATCCCCGAYGCACGAGGCCTCCGTACTCAGCTCTTGGCCGAGCACCACAATGCCAAGACCGCAGGACGTCTCGGTTTCCAGAAGACCTTCGACACCATCTCCCGCTACTTCTACTGGCCTTCCCTACTCGTCGACGTTAAAGCATACATTCGCTCGTGCCCCACGTGTCAAGCTGTCAACCCCTCGAACCGGGCCAAACCCGGCAAGCTCCAATCATTGCCCATCCCAGCTCACCGGCGGCAGTCCATCTCCATGGACTTCGTGTGCGGCCTCCCCAAGACCGACCGCGGGCATGATTGCATCTACGTCATTGTCTGCCGCTTGACCAAACGTGCCCACTTCATCCCTTGCACGACCTCGCACAGTGCCAAAGACGTCGCGACACTCTTCTTCGACCATGTTGCTCGCCATCACGGCCTCCCCGAGAACATCATCAGTGACCGTGATCCTTGCTTCCTCTCACAATTCTGGAAACACCTCTTCACGGCCTACGGAACCACGCTCAA